TTGAACAATTAAAATTAAATGATTTGACTAAACTCAATAACTAAACTAATAAACGAAAAATTAAATTAACTTTAAATAACACCAAGAGTTAAAATTCTAAGGCATCCGATTTTATCATAATCAACTAATATAGAATTTACATTAATATACTTTCAAGGTATTTATTATTTATGTGACAGCGGGATTTCCTATCCTATCTAATATACTTTCTCAAGTTATATCAAACATATCTTCACCTATTAACTCATTGTATCTCTATGTAAATTTAAATAGATAAAGATGCAGTATGTTCTGTGACATTCCTTAGTTTACATGGAAAATTAAGTCCACTTATCACTAATGCTACACAAATCACGTTGGTCCATCTCTAACTTTCGTTCAATTTATGGTATATATTACTAGAAGTTATTGCATAAAATCTCTTCTCGGTCTCAATTATGCTCTCCAAATCAGTTTTAATGGTGGCCAATCATTAAAAAGCATTAAAAAAAATCATATATACTCTACATAAAATAATAAACCTTGAAAGTATAAAAATCATAAAACTTTATATTAAATTGATCAGGTTACATAGTAACCTTAGATGGCAAATCAGTTCATAATTAATTAAAGAAAAGAGAATCAACAATCTCATGATGAATATACGAGTATCCAACATCATGAAATAAAATTCAAGGACAAGCAAACCGGTTTGACTATATAAAATCCCAAGTCTTCTTCTTTTGTTGTTGAATTCCTCTTAACCATCTTTCTTGGTCTCCTCTCCAAAAGCCCTCGCACTAATTTTTGAATGGGTATTTATAGAGTTTAAGAAACCCTATTAGAAGAGAAGTAGGACTCGAAAAAATAGGAAATTGGGATTTTTGGACTATGAACGCATGGTGCCAACACCCTTAATTACATGTCGACAGAGAATAGGAAACAAAATCAATAATTCTGGACGCGTAATGCATAGTGTTGACACCCCGATTATGTATCGACACCACACCCGTGTCGGGGTTTTTGGCCTCTTTTGCAATTTCTTCAATGGTAAAATTTCAGATTTGATCCTCCAAGTTTTGTACGATGAGCACTGAGATCTCAAAAATTAAGATTCATTCATTTAGGTCCCAAAGAAGTCTCTTTCTTCTTGCAGTTCAGTCCTTCAACTTCTAAAAGATATTCAATTAATTCCAAAACTCTTATTATTATGCATCCAAGTCTTTTTCTGCACAAAGAATGAAACCCATGTAACATTTCATAGAATTCATCCAAATATTAATAATATCAAGACAAAAATTCAACATTAATATGTATATAAATTCAACTCATCATTCATCGTGAGGAGTTTGTGGGGGCACAGAATTTTGGTCCTGGTTCCCTCCAGAGCGTGGATTTCTGAAATATTTTGCAATGAATTCTTCAACAAGATCAGGATACTTTCCCTTGACAAAGTTGTCTAGACACTTTCGGTAGGAAAAATCTTCTTTGAAACCATCGGTTGTGACTACATACAAGCACCTGCTTTCTAGGAAATTCACGTGCTTGCTTATCTGTCACATTGAGTTCAGGTTTTTCATTGGATTAATAAATAGGCAACACATACTACTGGATAAAGAGCAAATTTGAAGGCTGGACATTGTCTTTTGTGGACTTGTGGAATGCTCCTAGTAGATGCCGAATAGTAAAAGTTCTAAAACTAAGATTAATAGAATTTGAGCAAGGTGAGATGATATGATGTCTGCAATAATACCATATGAAGGTGTTTTTTACACAATAGGGGTTTCCTGTGCTAGTGGGTTTGATGATAAGAACAGTGAGATATGGAGAAATTGCAAAAAAGGATAGAAAACCCAACATGGGTGTGGTGTCGACACATAAATTGGGTGTCGACACTATACGGTAAGTACCTAGAATTTCAACACGAACGTGGTGTTGACACACAATTTTGATATCAACACTATATAGATGTAAACTTATGCTTTTCAAGTTGGGATGTTAATGGGTTTGTGGTACCCCTTGTACTCCATTTTTTAATTAATATTATTTTTTACTGTTCAAAAATAAATAAATAAACAGGCAACACATTACGACGTACACAAGTATGTATAACCATTTGTTTTCTCATGTAAAAGACATTGTTTCACATTCATGCATGCAGTTTGAGTTTGAATCCCAGGAATGAGATGGGGAGGATTTTGGGAGGCGGAGGAGGATTATGCAATTATCCGTTTACTAGATATATAACCTACAATATCATGCACCAAAAAAATAAAATGCACTAACATGTAGAATTCAACATTCTTTGTTTTTGTCCTGTGAGGTCCCCTTCAGTAAGAAAATGACTTTAAAAAGTGAGAAAAAAATAATAATAACTAAGCAAAAGTTAAGTAATTAAGTATACCATGAAATAGTCAATGCTAGCGCCCATTTTCCTGCCTTTCTCTGGATGATAAGCAAAGAAATTGTCAAGTATAGAGGAATGATCATCGGCAGATAGTGGATCCCCATCATTATACCTTCAAACAAAAAATCTCTTTTTTAGCAAATAATGAAACAAATATGAGATGATATGCAGAATTAGCAAAGAGAAGTGCTAGTAGGAATATACAGGCAATCAAGGAAAAGTAGAAAGAGGGTAGACTATTACAGATTTGGACACTATGGCTAATACTTCCTAGAGGCAGAGTATTTGGCAAAATAGTGCAAATCCTTCTGCTGAGAAGAACCTGGTATTCAATACTCTATCCAACTAAAACTTCTAGACCAGAAAAGAGCCACTTTAAGCAGAAATTGGCAAAATAACACAAAGGCATCGAATCAAAAGAAAAACAAAACACCACAGGTGATCACCATATTTCAATAGCACAATCACTCTTACTAGATTTTTGTTGGAAAAATAGGGTAGAAAATCTGCAAATGGCTTTAAGGCGTGTTGCAAATGCCATTTTCCTTTAGGCTAATTTCGGCCCCACCAGATCTGGTATGCAAAAGGAGTAACCCGAAATGCCCGTAGGATACAATGAAATGCTTTGTTGATCTTGCTTTTGCACTAGCAAGATCAACCACTAAACCGTCCTTTGGAAAGTGACAAAACAATATTTTTGGTACAGGGATTTCTACAGCAATCGAAGTGCAAAAAGGGACTGTTTTATTTAGATAATAGTAGGGATTTGTTTTTGGGTTCAAGAGACAAAGAAGAAGAAGAGATAACTTTATATTTATAGGGGTAAGATGTCTGTTATGAACAGACGCTCCTTTTAAGTTATTATCAGTTCATTAACGGATAATAACTGAGTTATCATGAAATTTATCCATTGGAAATTTTTCCAAAAGTCATTTGGTTTGATTTGAACTCCAAATGACGTGTTTCCTTGCCTTCCAAAGTTATCCACTCTCTTTAAAAACTTATCTGAATGTTATCTCTT